GCCAGGCCCACCCAGACGGGCTCAAGGCCCGGGTGTGTGGGGGGGGCGCGGGGGCGGCCGAGTGCAGCTGCCCACAGTGCTGATGGCAGTGGCGGCAGCCTTGCCACGTGACCCGGGCAGGCGGAAGCGGAAGTACCGGCCTGGAGCCCGCGCTAGGCGGGTGGCCGCTCAGCGCTGCCCAGCAGCCGCCTGCACCAGCCATGGACTGCTACACCGCAAACTGGAACCCGCTCGGGGACTCTGCCTTTTACCGGTGAGCCGCACCCCCCTCCCGCCCACGACCCGGCTTACCCAGCTCGCCCGCCGGCTTGAGTCTCCGGGCGGAGCCCGCGGCGGCGCGCGCCCCCGTCACTCCCGGCGCTGGGGTCCGCCCCTCGCCGGCTCTCCCCTGTCGTCTGCCCCTTAACGCACACCCGCGTAATGGCCAGGGAGCCAGGCCTTCTCCTGCTCCAGCGAAGGAAACTGAGGCAAGCCCAGTGGTCACACAAGTAGGGGCAGAGTCCAACGCTGAAGCCCAGGTCTGTCAGTCTCCGGAAGGATGCTCAGATCACGTTGAGGGAGGCCGCCCACTGGTGACAGCGAGTGCCCAGTCTCCTGCCAGGAAGTGCTGCTGAAGTCAGACCACAGGGGCGCTCCCAGTGGGGCGGGATCGCACAGCAGGCGGGGAAACAGTGCTGACCAAGGCTGAGAGAAGGGGAAGAGTCGGCAGTGAATCCAGGGGCATCCCCGGCTAGCAGTTCTCTCATGGGAGTCGTAGAGTCCTAAACTACTAATTTTTCTAAAGTGTTCACCCATTACATCATTACCCTAATTAGGATTTTTCAGTGGTTTCCTTTTGTAGGATAAACTCCTCTTGTTAAATCTATAAGTCGACTCCTGTTTGTCCCTCCAACTTAATTTGCCCCTCTCGTACCCAAATTTTGTGTTCCAGTTGCACAGAAGAGGACCCCAACACACCATGTTTCATGGCTCTCCATAGTTGCAGCAGCCTGCAGTTCCTTTTGTGGGCACTGCCATTTCCCTCTTTGTCTTACTGGAGAAGTTGTGCTCATCCTTCAGGACTTAGTTCGAAGGTCCTTTCTGAAACTTTCCCCGACCTAACCCCAGTAGAGTCAGCTGACTTTCCTTTGGGCCTCACAGGACCTAGTGCTAGAATAGAGTCTGTTATGTATGGCACAGTAGGGCAATATTTGTATAGGTTTCTTCTGCTAAACCAAGTTCCTTGAGGGCTGAGAGCATATTTCTTGTATCTCTTTATCACAAATACTATTTAGAGCAGTGCCTGGTATGTAGTTGTTGCCCAATAAAGTTTTTTAGAAATACTTTATTACTACTAAAAGTCACAAAGATATCACATTAGAATCTTATTTCAATAGAAGATACCTGTTTGCTATGAAACTATGTACTACTGTTATTCACATATTAAAACTTTCTTATGTAATTTTTGATACATAAAATGTCAGCCCTTAAAGAGGACAGATGCTTTGTGGCAATTTTTAGAGATCTATTGCATTTGTTGTTTATATCTGATTCTTAAAATATGTCTATACTATATGAAAAAAATTGCAAAAGTTCATTTAAAATTAGTAAAGTTCATAGGAAATCACAATGATTTTAACTGTTTTTGTGGTAGAGGGATGCCAGTTGACATAGGTGATCATGTAACTTAGTGCTTACAACACAACATACACTTTCGAAAATATTAACATATTATTTTTGGAAATACAGTTGCCTACAGAGAGGCCTGTTAAATAGAAGAGTACTAAAAATGATGACCTCATTACTACAGAACTCCTGTTTATCACTGAAGTCTTAGCTTTGTTGTTACACTAATAAAGTTTTAAATGAATATATATGTCGAGTCCATGCCATAGACCAGCATACCTAGCCAACCCTTACCTATGTGTGCTGTATTGCCAGAAAGATGTAGAGGTCTAAGCCTTGCTGTGGAAGATATATTATTTTTGCTAACAGATGTGCCCATCTATGTACTAGACACTCAGCTAAGTTCTTTATGTGTATTAACTTGTTTAAGTCTTACAACTCCATGGAGCAGGTATCATGCTTAAATTCATCTTACTCATGAGGAAACACACACACAGAGTTTAGGTGACCAGGTTACACAGCTGGAAAGTAGTGGAGTGACAATTTGAATCCAGTCTTCTAGAACCTGTACTAAAGGATAGAGTTTTTTGTTTTTGTTTTTTAAACAGGAAAATGAAATAGTGTGTTCTAGCTTCTTCACCAGAGTAGAAATGTTTTAAGTGCAGATACTTGGTGTTACTTGTATTTGTGCATAGCCTTATGCCAGGATTTAATACATGTTTAAGTGAGTGAATGATTGATAAACAGGTGGCAGACAATGCATGGCAAGTCTTATCTATAGGACAGGATTCTTTTGCATTGGAAGTAGTGTTTTGGAAAACTAATTTGGCGAGGCAAGAAGAGGGAATGGTGACTAGTTCTTATGGGGCTTCAGAATTTTAGCCATTTTTATCCCCCAAAAAAACAATTTGGGCTAATCCTGTTAATGAATTTTACCCAACCCATTGTCAGGCTGGCTGTGTATCAGCCAATAAAAAGATATGGACCCTGTTTGCCCTCATAGAACTTATAGCTGGCAGAGGAGACTGTTGATAACCACTCAGTTTGTTTGATCATAATCACCGTGAAGGAGAGGTATAGGGTCCTAAGAGAGCATATAACAGACTGAGAAGTCAGAGGTAAAGAAGACTTCCTGAATGAAATGGTAACCCATCCAGGGGATGAGTAGGCATTGGTGCAGGGAATGGGATGAAGAAGAACATATACAAAGATCCTGAGGCAGGAGAGACCACTCTCAATGACCTTGAATGAAGAAGTTGATGCCTTTCCCTTAGGGGCCATACCCTGCAAGGCCTTATAGGTGATCTTTATTTGAAGAATAGTGGAGAAACCTAAATGAAAGGGTTTTAATGAAAGGATCGATATGATTGAATTTGGGGGGGAGGGGGGTTAAGTTCCTTCTGGAGGCAATGGGGGGACAAATTGGTAAGGGCAAGAAAGAATGGAGGCAAAGAAACTGGTTAGGAGGCTGGTGGAATATACCAAGAAGAAGTGGACGGTGGCGAGAACTGGGGTGGTGATGGTAGAGATGGAGAGGGGAGCAGATCTGACATATTTAGGAGATAAAATTGAAGGAGATCGTGATGGGGCTTCAGAATTTTAGCCATTTTTATCCCCCAAAAAAACAATTTGGGCTAATCCTGTTAATGAATTTTACCCAACCCATTGTCAGGCTGGCTGTGTATCAGCCAATAAAAAGATATGGACCCTGTTTGCCCTCATAGAACTTATAGCTGGCAGAGGAGACTGTTGATAACCACTCAGTTTGTTTGATCATAATCACCGTGAAGGAGAGGTATAGGGTCCTAAGAGAGCATATAACAGACTGAGAAGTCAGAGGTAAAGAAGACTTCCTGAATGAAATGGTAACCCATCCAGGGGATGAGTAGGCATTGGTGCAGGGAATGGGATGAAGAAGAACATATACAAAGATCCTGAGGCAGGAGAGACCACTCTCAATGACCTTGAATGAAGAAGTTGATGCCTTTCCCTTAGGGGCCATACCCTGCAAGGCCTTATAGGTGATCTTTATTTGAAGAATAGTGGAGAAACCTAAATGAAAGGGTTTTAATGAAAGGATCGATATGATTGAATTTGGGGGGGGGGGTTAAGTTCCTTCTGGAGGCAATGGGGGGACAAATTGGTAAGGGCAAGAAAGAATGGAGGCAAAGAAACTGGTTAGGAGGCTGGTGGAATATACCAAGAAGAAGTGGACGGTGGCGAGAACTGGGGTGGTGATGGTAGAGATGGAGAGGGGAGCAGATCTGACATATTTAGGAGATAAAATTGAAGGAGATCGTGATGGGTTGTACTTCTTAAGGAGAAAGAAGAGCAAGGTGTTGAGGATGACTTGGGTTTTCAGCTTAAGATAATGAGTTTGGTGGTGAAGAGAGTAAGCTTGGTTTTGAACACTGTTTCAGGTACTTTAGAAACATCCTTTATGGTAAAAAAAACAGAGACTGAAGATATGTATTTCTGAAGCTCTTATTAGAAATAGACTATTTTAGTAGGTTTTTTGAGGGGTTTGGTTTTTGCACATATAAAGATGAATTTTTTATAAAAAATTGTGGTTAAATACACATGATGTAGAACTTACTTTCTTATTCATTCTAAAGTACAATCCAGTGGTGTTAGGTATTTTCACATTGTTGTGTAACCAATATCCAGAACTTTTTCATCTTGCAGAACCAAAACTCTATACCCATTAAAATTCCTCATTCTCCCCTTCCCCCAGCCCTGGCAACTGCCATTCTATTTACTGCTTCTTTGAATTTGACTGCATAGCTCATATAAGTGGAATCATACAGTATTTACTTTTTTGTGATGGCTTATTTCACTTAGCATACTGTCCTAAAGGTTCATCCATACATGTTGTAAAATGTATCAAAATTACCTTCCTTGTTAAGGCTGAATAATATTCCATTTTATGTATATATCACATTTTGCTTATGTATTCATCCTTTAAAGGACACAGGTTATTTTCACCTCATGGCTGTTGTGAATAACGCTCCTATGAACAGTGGTGTACAAATAGCTCTTCGATACCTGTTTTATTCTTTTGGATATATACCCCAAAATGGAATTGCTGGTTCATATGGTAATTCTATGTTTAATATTTTGAGAAATTTTCATCTTGTTTTCCATGGCAGCTGCACCATTTTGCATTTCCAGCAACAGTGCACAAGAATTCTTTAGTAATTTCTGAGGCAAGCTGGAGTCAAGGGATTTCAAGGATGATGGTGGGCTTGCTTTAGGGCCTGGGGATTTTGGAATTATTAGATTATTTTCCAAGGCTCCCCAGTGGTCCAATAACCCAACCTGGATAGGCTGGAGATGATCTATTTTTACATAAGGGCCCTTCTCACGCTGTAGTGGACCAGGCTTTCCTAGCAGTTCAGTTGCACTGCCACAGTGATTTCTTCACTGTTTCCTGGATGGGCTTGAGATTGAGACTACCAGAGCTGCTAGGTTTAGTAATTTCCTGGCATTAGAATCCACGGTCCATTAACAGCCCCTGTGGTGATTTCCACCGTGAGACCTCGAGTAGAGGGGAAAGATCTAATTGGCCTTCCTCATTGAAGGTGTGGCCTCACAAGGTCTACAGTCCTCTAGCCTTTTCTGAGAGTCCGCCTTCCCTACTGCCCTCCACTCTACCTATCCATACCCCTCGCCACCCTTGAGGCACAGCTTGAGCCACCTCACTGTCCCTGAGAAGGCTACTTTATCTCAAAGCCTTGGGAAGGTGGTCCATGCTTTGTTACTCTTCACTCCCTGACCCTTACTCCTACATTGCTGCCAGTCTTCTAATTGACTGCATTTCTCACTGATTGTTTGATTGGAGACTTTGGCCCACAGCCTCCTAAACATCCCAGTTCTTGCCACCTTTTGTAGTAACTTAAGTGACTACCTGGCTTCATGGTTCCATAGGTTCTACTCAAGTAATCTTATGTTGTGTCCAGAATAACCAGACCCAACTTGAGTGCTCTTAACCAGGAGACAGTTTATTAGCCGGCGGCTGTCCTTGCAAAAGAGGAGCCCCGAATTGCCAGGATACAAGGATTTTAAGCCCCAAATCCCATTCCTCATTCTGTCTTAAACACAAAGGTCCATCTTTCTCCTATTCACTACCTGTCAACCCACTGGTCAGGTGTGCAAGCGGGAAGTACAGAAGCAGAAAGCTTGTTGTTAGAATGTTATGTTCCTATGGGTGATTGTCTATGTTCCCATGGGCAATAGCCAGTGTTCCCATGGGCGATGGCCAAACAGTAATTTTCAGCTTATATACAATTGATTATTTTTCATGCCACACAAGCAAGCAGGGTTACACAGGCTAAAATTGGCAGTTAGCGTATGAGCTCATTGTTACAAGTTTCATGATTAACAGAATGTGGTTAGGGGTTCCAGAAAATATGCCTAAGGTATAGACTTCCTTTGTCCAGTTTCAGGTTTTAATTATTCTTTAACCCTTTCACATTTCAGCGGGCTATTACACTTATGCACCTCATCCACCCCCACTCTGCTCCTGTGCTTATCCAGAACTGCTCTACCTCAAATGTTAAATTCAGACAGCCCCTTCTCAGACCATAAGCTCCTGTCCTCACTGACACTCTGATACCTTCTGAAAAACCGTCAGCCTCACTGAGATCCTCAACCCTGGAGCCCTCTCTTCTCTTTGTGTCAGCATGCAGAACTCCTTTCTACAGATGTATCCC